TTTAGGTCACCCTGTATATTTAAGCCTCTCTCTGTCCATGTAATCCAGTTGCCTCTGAAGATGTCTTGAATAAAGACGAAAGCTAAGGTACTCCGTTGTTTCCATTTTCCCGTGTGATTTTATCAAGATTTATCTTATCCACGTTTTCATTGTGGATTTACATGATATATATATATATATATATATATATATATATATATATATATATATATATATATATATATATATATATATATATATATATATATATATATATATATATATATATATATATATATATATATATATATATATATATATATATATATATATATATATATATATATATATATATATATATATTTATTTTTAGTCCATATAACACGCGGACTTTGAGGTCGTTGATTATATGTTCAAAGTCAGCGTGTTATATGGACTAAAAATGAAGTATACATGGTACCTCGTGTTTCATACCAGCTGGATTCGGTAAAATGCCACTGACATCCACATAAGCAGCACGGGCAGTTCCCAATGAGAGGTTCACGGCGCCATCAGCTCGATGAACAGGCTTTGTGTGAAATATCACATAGTCTAGAACTGCTTTTAGTGCTCTTGTGGTATGGTCGGTAACATTCCCTGGTCCCATGCATTAGGTCGAGGGTTCGAGTCCTGGCTGGTGAGGTCGTTGATTATATATATATATATATATATATATGTGTGTGTTAGGGACCGAGAAGGTTTGCGATATAAAAAGCAATATAATTCAATTCAAAATAAGGGGCTAGGGACTAGAAGTCCTCGTTAAACAATGCTTAAAAGGTATATTTCTCCACTGTACTTAACCAAGAAATGTACTGTGCTCTGGTAGATCATTCAGAAATAAAGAGAACTGTTCACAAAGAAAAATCCCCCGTCCCCCAAAAGCAAAATACATCTTAATTGTGCTTCCTATAAACTATATACCCGAATCAGCGGTAATTCTGGATGATGGTGATTCACATTAACCAACAACCTGAGAAAACTTTTCAATCTAGATAATACGTTTTACCTCAATCCATCCAAAACGGGAAGGAATAAGTTTTTCATAAAATCATTTATAAAATTTTTTCTACTGATGAAAATGTCCCAGATATAAACACTGGAGCAATCGAATCGTAGCGTGCAGCCTTGGATATGTTCAGGACGGCATCCACACAATCACTACCCACAACTAAAAATATCAAAATAGTTAAGAAACAAAGTCTTAGTCAAGCTTTGATCATTAATCGACTTTTTATTATTCAGAGTATTTTAAACTATAGAATATGTCAGTAACTGGCAATATGTAGGCAAATGGTAATAATTTGAGTTGCCGTGAAATAAAATAACACGAAATAACCAGAGGTTACTGTACGTATCTACATACAATATATATACAGAATCAACAAAGGGTAATATACGAGTCTAAACGTAATATGACAGTGACTGGGGTGCTTGTTTTCATATCATATCGTAGTGAGATGCTATGTTCCCACATAGTAGGCAGCTACCAAACAGGGAGGTACTACCGCCTGGGAAGATATTGGAAGCATAATGTATTGTCGAATGGTAGACCCTGCTGCCATATGGCATCAAGAAAATTGTGACCAAGTCCCAGGTTTCTGATCTGACTTTCTGCCTCATTTACATACAATTGCAAGTCTCAATTGTTTCTTTTACTTGACAACACAACATACATATAGTGTTCCTCACAATTGATTTTTTTTTTCATTTTAGTATTTCTTTTTCGTTCTTTATTATTATTATTATTATTATAACAGTGTTATTATTATTATTGTTATCATTATTATTTTATTTTACTTTTCATTATAAATTTTATTTACATTGAATAATTATTAAATTTTCGCCCCCCAGCCCCGATGTGGGTCAGTGACCTGTGCTCGGGTGGGCTAAAATCCCCATAAAATTTTATTTATATATATATATATATATATATATATATATATATATATATATATATATATATATATATATATATATATATATATGCAAGTAAATCACTGTAGGTGCGCGTGATCTAGGCATATGCTGATAACCACAAGGAAAGAAGAAAACACGAAGTTCCCAAGCGCTTTCGTGTAATTCACATCTTCAAGGGTGAGTACAGACTAAGGAGAAGTACAAAACAGGGTTTATATATACAGAAGAGAGTGAGATCAAGTCCACAGTGGTCAGGTATAGGTAATGACCCTACTAATCTTCACAAATGCACCGCAGCGGTAGGCAGTCAGGTCAGAGGGTAAGCTGACCCAACCTTTTCACCTGGTTACAAATCTGCACCCCTGAAGGTTGGGTCAGTTTACCCTCTGACCTGACTACCTACCACTGTGGTGCTTTTGTGAAGATTAGTAGGGTCATTACCTATACCTGACCACTGTGGACTTGATCTCACCCTTCTCTGTATATATATACCCTGTTTTGTACTTCTTCTTAATCTGTACTCACCCCTGAACATAAGAACATAAGAAAATAAGGAGTCTGCAATAGGCCGGTTGGCCTGTGCATTGCAGCTCCTGTCGGGAGTTACTACCACTCTCTATCATCCATGAATCTATCTAGCCTCCTTTTGAAACTTTCCAGAGTTCCAGCACTTACTACAAAGTTGCTAAGCTTGTTCCACTCATCCACTTCCCTATTTGTGAACCAGTTTCTTCCTATCTCCCTCCTAAACCTAAACTTATCCAACTTAAATCCGTTGCTCCGAGTCCTTTCCTGCTCGGATATTATAAGAACTTATCTATATCCCCCTTATTGATTCCTTTCACCCACTTAAATACTTCTATCATATCTCCCCTCACTCTTCGTCTTTCTAGGGAATGCAAGTTAAGTTTCTTTAACCTATCCTGATATGGAAGGTTTCTAAGTCCCGGAATCATTCTCGTCATTCTTCGCTGCATCGACTCTTGTGAATTGATATCCATTCTATAATAAGGGCACCAGAACTGAACCGCATAATCGAGGTGCGGCCTGACTAGCGCAAGATATAGTTGCAATAAGACCTCTGCACTCTTACTTACACTCTGTTTGCCTTATTTCGAACATTAAAGCACTGTTTTCTAGGCCGTAGGTCCGGGCTTACAAGTACCCCTAGGTCTCTTTCAGAAGTCGACTTCTCTAGGTTGATGTTGTTAAGGCTGCATACATTGTCAGTATTTGTTCTTCCAATTACATGAAAGCGCTTGGGAACTTCGTGTTTTCTTTTCCTTGTGGTTATCAGGATATACCTGGATCACGTGCACCTATAGTGATTTACTTGCATATATATATATATATATATAATATATATATATATATATATATATATATACAATCAACACCTCAACCCGCCAGGATTCGAACCCATGGCTTACAAGCCCATGACTGTGACCGGGGAACGCTAACCGCTGGACCACCAGGATACTAAAAGTAGTCCTAGACAGGCTTTGTGTGAAATATAACAAAGTCTAGGACTGCTTTTAGTATACTGGTGGTCCAGCGGTTAGCATTCCCTGCTCACAGTCATGGGCTAGTAGGCCGTGGGATCGAATCCTGGCGGGTTGAGGTGTTGATTGTATGTAGAAGTCTGCGTGCTTTATTGGGCTAATGAAATATATATATGGATCCTCGTGTTTCGAAGCCGGATTTGGTAAAACGTTACTCTGACCACCTACTTGATACGGGTAGTCCCCATTAGAGGTTCACGGCGCCATAAGCTCGTTGAACAGGCTTTGTGTGAAATATAACAAAGTGTAGGACTGCTTTTAGTATCCTGGTGGTCCAGCGGTTAGCGTTTCCCGGTCACAGTCATGGGCTAGTAGGCCGTGGGTTCGAATCCTGGCGGTTTGAGGTGTTGATTGTATGCCGAAGTCCGCGTGCTATTGTGCTAATGAAATATATATATATATATATATATATATATATATATATATATATATCTATCTATCTTATTGTCTCTTTGAGCACATGTGATGATTGATGCAGGAAAGAGAAGCATGTGGCAGACAGGACAAACCACCTTGCTAGATGGACTAGTCCAGCTCGCTATATAGGTCAATCCATGCCCACTAGTTAACACGTTCAAGCCTGTTAAGGCTACGAGATAGTACAAGCCAGCCTGCCAGATAGTGCGCAATTCATCCAGTCGAATAGTACAATCCAGCCTGCTAGATAATACAATCCAGCCTGCCATAGAGTACACTCCAACCTGCTAGATAGTACAATCTAACCTGTGAATTAGCATAATTTGGCTGACTAAAAAGTATAATCTAGCCAAATCGAGATTTAAATCTAGCTTGTTTGACATAACAATCCAGCCTTCTTGGTACTATGAATAGAACTTGTATGCCAGTATGTGTAAATAGATTATCCTACATCATGTGTTAGCTAACTTACATATATGCACTCAATTGCAAGTGATTCGGCTTCTTTTGGGTAGCCTAACAGGATAACGTTACTCAGGTTTTGTTGGACTAGGAAGGATTCAGATTATTATACATAGAGTAGTGCCTCTATTGCTTGGATTAACTACGGCAGAACCCAAGTTTGAGGTATAGTAGAATTAAAGGATTGGTGAGCAATTCTCCACACACCCACTCAAAAATGAAAATCATAATTTTAAAAATTTCTAGAGGGAAATAGAATCATCATATCGTTGTAAACCTAATTATTCAATAAAGCTGAACAAGTAACTTTATCCATGACTTTTATGGGAAACACAGACACACACATACAGTTAGAATGATTAATATAATAATTTAAAATTATTCATACCATATATACCTCCAGTATATTATACAATATTATGTATATGTTATTCCGACCCTTCAGCCCCGTTGACCAATTAATCAGGTGAACCCTGAAATAACAGTCTTGGTTAACAGTGAAGTTATGACCTGTCATGACCGACCATCACCTGGCACTTGGCATAACCTAAAAATCCACTCTAACACTTCCAATTTACCACTAACATTCTTACAGTGGTTTAAGGTGTTATGAAACTCCACTTTTAACAATAAACAAACTATATTAAAACAAGCGATGAATACAATGATATCTCAATGCAAGTGAAACTCCTGGCCGCAGCCACCGAACAGTTCAAGTCTCTTACATTTTCGAAAATATCTGTCCTCACAACAATTATAATGCTTTATCTCTTACAACACCATAATCAGTACACACAACTGCACCATATTAATACACAAATGAATCCTGACAATGCAATATTAAAGCTTTATAAACCAATTTTCGTCAATACACACAGTTGCTATGTTTACAAAATAGGACCTAAGCGAGAGAGTGCGAGGCGCTCTATACTTGTGCCCTCTACCTTATCTCTCATACTTTATTTAGTTTTTTATAAATTTGATCATATAATCCATTACATTTATGCGCTATGATTAACTAAAATAATGAAAACATCAAAACAATATGAATACTAGTTCAATATTATACTGTTCTTGTAGTAGAATACATAATTATATTTAGGATAATTTTAGACAAAAACATGAATTTCTTTTTTTACACTTTCTTGCACTTTGCCCATATCGAAGAAGATAATTACGTCTTCCACTACAAATTGGCCAAATGCTTTTCCCAACACAGTATTATAAATATAAACACATAATTTATGCGAAACTATAATAGGTGATAAGACAACGGAGTAGGGTGGTATAATAAAGGATAACTAAATAATTATCTTGGCAGGCCCAGATCATAACAATCTAAAATTGCTTGGGAATTGATAAGCCTTAAGGGTTGAAGTGGGTTGAATGAATGACCACACAGACTTAAAGATAGCAAGAACTTGGATAGTTTTTATCAACTAAAATTTTCAGTCCTGTTGTGTAAATGACATAGAGTGTGTTTGCTTATGTATAAATTAACTGTTTTGGGTAAGTGGATAAGTTATGACACAGCTGATTTGAACCTGGCATAACTAGGATTTGGGTATAGGCCAGTCTTGCACTGCACCATGCAGAGCTGTAGAGGATGCAATTTAATTTTGTTTTGGGCTTGGGTCTGGGGTGTATTCGGCTTAAAAAACTGTAGTCAGATTTTTATTTCACACTGCCCAATTTGAGGTTCTGAGGTGTATAAGGTTCACGCAAGAGATGTGCTACTGTATTGCATATATAGGATGAACAGCACAAAATCATTGTGAAAATACAGGATTACAAATGTCAACTTTAATGCTGATTGTTATTCAAGAATGTATTTGGATATGTACTGATGAAATTGTCATGCCATAATATGTAGCACCATTTCTATAAACTGCAATGCCCTTTGATGGACAGGTGTGGTACAAACAGAGAAAATCATGATATATATGGTGCTCAGTTTCTGTATAATCTCTCCCTCCTAACTTGATGTGAGAAATATCTACTTGGTAATGATATTCAGAGATAACATGTCCAACCTCACCTTTAAGTGTCACTGCTAGTGCTCCACAAGCTACAGTCGAAGAGTTTGAAGCTTAAAGAAACAATATCTGTAGTATAATGACAAAGACATTATGTACTGCTAATATTGAACCGCTACCTAAAAATATTAGACACTTATCAGGTATATCCTTAACCCTGTATTTTCATTACTGCACAAGTTAAATTTGAATTACGACTTACAATTCTTGAATTTAAGATCCTGAAGATGCAAATAAAAAACATCTGAAGATTCAAATACTGTACCTTATGGCCACATTCCAATATTATGTCATGACAGGTGTGTTAAGAAGCCAAGAAATCAACATGAATCATACATCAACTTTTTTATAAACCGCTTAAGACGAACAAAGATTCATTACATCAGATATGATAACTGTTTTATAGTAGTGCAAAATATAGAATGATCTCATTACTGTACTTATAAAGGTAAATGATAACTAGTTCTTATCTGTAATGATAATTTTGTTTATTTTGATTATATACTGTTTATCCCAATTGATCCAGTTTATCTTAATAACTCGTACTTATTTCTCTTAGGCTGACGTGGTTTCATATGTTGAGTTTTTGCTTGTCTAGAATGTTTTATACTGGACTTTTGAGCTTGTTATTCTAATGCACAGAATTAATCAATTACATATGATATATACTGGCAAGATGGATTAATTCTATACCAGGCGGATGGACCATGTAAACCTAGCACTTACGATTAAACCCCAGAAACATAGTATTCTTCAGCCTTAAAGTACATACCATATACTGTAGCCATATTTTATCTTAAGCAAAATCACAAAGCCTGATCTAAGTTCATTCTTCCCAACCATTCATCCAGGGCCTCTGTTGGTAGTAGTATCTAAACTACTTGTATCCCCATGCACCTAAACATGCCATAAATTTATTGTCAAGGAAGTAGCAGTTCAGTTTGGAGCTGGACGGGCACAATAGCAAACCCGGAAACAGATCAGCAGGGCACGCCGGCAGGGACGGCCCAAGTGGAAATGGTTAGGGTAGCATCAGGAGAGAGAGATGGGATTGTAGCGCATGATGCGGGCCAGCAGTAACCACAACAGTGCTGCTACCAAGCAGGTCACCACACCACCCCAACCCAGGTCTAGTGACCATCCTGTCTGGAACACTCGTGCGGAGCTGTACTCTGGTGTCACCTGCACAGAGAAGAGAGGAAATTTAATTTTTTTTCTACGGGTATTATCCCACCTGGGCACAGGTCACTGACCCACATCGGGGCCTGGGGGCGACAATATAATAATAATTGCACAGTATGTAAAGGGGTGCCCAATAAACTAGCACCCTCGGATGCAATCTAAAAAAAAAAAAAAATAAATAATAATAATAATAATATAATAGTAATCTTAATAATAATAATACTAAAAATAATAATAATAATAATATAATAGTAATCTTAATAATAATAATACTAAAAATAATAATAATAATAATAATAATAATAATAATAATAATGAATAAATAAATAACTACTAATGAAAAAAAAAGATCAAGAGTGAGAAACGATATACAGTATGTATGTTGTGTTGTTAAAGCTAGAGAAACAATTGAAACCCTGCAATTGGTCACAATTTTTGTGATGTCAAAGGGTAGCAGGGTCTACCATTAAACAACACAATATACTTCCAATATCTTCCCAGGTGGTAGTACCTCCCTACTACCTACCTTGCTCAACTATGATAATATGAGAGAAAGATACTGAAAGAGAGCGTGAATGAATTAAAAATAAACAAAGTTTATAAAAGGGGGTAACTGTAAAGAGGAAAGATGGGAACAAGAACACCAACAAGTAAACACAGTAGCTACTGTACGTAAACACAGTAGCTACTGTACGGTACGTACTGCCAATTTCAGTAATGAATCTTTGACTTTTCTGGTACCCTTGTTAATCTGGACCATGAGTAATGAATAAAGTACAAAGTCAAAAGAAGAAAAATCATAGCATTAGATAAAAAACTTTCAGGATCTGCTTTGCTGTTAAAAATAATAATGCAAGCATTTATGTAATATAAGAATGGAGGAAACTGCAGCGGGCCTATTGGCCCATAATAGGCAGCCCCGTTTACACCCAGCCCCTATCGCTCATATATTCTCCCATATCCGCCCAACCTATATTTGAAGCTACCCAACGTGTTCGAGTTAAAGATGATGTTCGGTAACTTGTTCCACTCATCCACTACTTTGCAGTATTTCCTAACCAGTATTTACCTGTCTCGGGCCCAAATCTAAATTTGTATAATTTGAAACCATTGCTACAAGTTCGCTCCTGGTTGGATAGTTTAAGTATCTTCGTTATATCACCTTTGTTTAACCCTGACTTTCACTTATATACCTCGATTATATCGCCCCTCACTTAACGTCTCTCGATGTTTTAATCTGTTTCTATACTCAAGGTTCCTAATGCCCGGGATTAGTCTTGTCAACTTCCTCTGAATGCTTTCTAGGGATTCGATATCCATTCTGTAATAAGGTGGCCAAAACGAAACTGCAAAATCCAAGTGAGGTCTCACAAGTGCAAGACACAGTTTTAAGATAATCTGGCTAGTTTTGAAACTATTATTCCTTTGTATGAACCCAATACTTTGTTAGCCTTGTTTCGAGCAAATACGCATTGTTGTCTTGGTTTGAGATTCCTACTTATCATTACTCTTAAATCTTTCTCACAGTCGGATTTCCTTATATTACCAACGTTGTTCATCTGATATCTGTTTTATCTGTTTACATCTCCTAGGCTAAGTACTTTAAATTTTTCCACATTAAATTCATCTGCCATATAAATTTTTTTTTCTTAGATCTTCCTGTATTTATGCGGGGTCCTCGTCAGATTTAATTACTCGCCGTATTTTAGTGTCGTCAGTAAATTTACTTATGTTGCTGTCTACGTCTATATCTATGTCGTTTATGTTTATAATAAAAAGTAATAGTCCAGTACTGAGCATTGAGGTACTCCACTAGTGACGTTACCCCAGTCGGATTTAGTGCCATTAATGGTGACTCTCTGTTTCCTGTCCTGTAACGATGGTCTAATCAAGTTTAGAATATCTCCACCAATTCCATGAGCCTCCACTTTACGTATTAGTCTTTCATGAGGGACCCTGTCGAAGGCTTTGCGAAGTCAAGGTAAAATACATCATAATCGTGTCCGATTCCACTGATTCAAAAACTGTTGAAAAGAATGATAATTATAGATTTTTCAGACATGAACGCCCATCAGATATGAACGTCCATATTAAATCTATGGTGTTCTATGTAGACACTTGTAGAATTGAATCAATCAATAATTATTGTGAATGTAGCATTGCTTTTGATTTATTTAAAAACAATACTTGATAGCTAAGTGGCCGTGTATGGCAAGTACAGTACAGATTTTAAAGAGTACAGGTACATAAATCAGAAAACTAGGGTTAACAAATGTAGCTGCAAATACTGGTGCATATAGGAGTAGGAAACTTAGTTTAAACAGTATACCCTCTTAAATCAAACCTACTCTTTTATGGTTAAAATCCATCCCACAACTCATGAAAGGAGTAGGGAGAGAGGTAGTCCAAGAATGATATGGAAGGACTAGATAAAATAGACTGAGCGTCAAGCGGTAGTCCAGAAGGAGATGTGGGTAAAATAGACTCGAGACCAATCTGGATTTGGTGCTATTTTCGCCGTCTGCATGTTGTTGGCAGGAAAGGGAATATCTATTTTTAGCATGGGTGGTTACCGATGCTTCTACAAGAATATAAAATAAGTACACTGCATCAGAAATACCCTCTTTTATTTTATTTTGTATACAGCCACCAGCCAGGTAGGTTCTCAAAATAAAGGCTGCTAATATGGAGTTTAGTCACCGTAGTTAATCTTCAATTACTCAGCCCATGATGATATATTAACCCTTATGGGCATACCACATATCCCCGCCTTCTCATTACAGCCATCGGCCCAAAATGAGGAGATCAGGTGCAAACTATTGTCTTCTACACAATGGTTCTGCCATCTTGTTCAGGGCCCATTCTGCCATCCGTGATTCAATTTCCAGCTAGTTAAGCTACAAATTCCAGGGAGATGGAAGGGGGTTGAGCCACACGTCTAAGGGCTTTGACAGAAAAAAGGGGCTCAGGATCCTGCTATTTTTGGCTTGAACCTCTTATCATATGACTTAGAGGAGGAGGAGGAGGAGGAGGAGCCATCTATAGGAATCAGGAACTTCTTACGTGCTCCCAACTTCTCCATACTATAAATAATTTTATTACTGTACTCTACACCTCGTGTATCGGTAGGTATTGCAGCAGTTTCACTGATAACTTTTTCGACAAAAGTGTAATTATGTTTACCTATACAGGTATGTGTGTGTGTAAAGACGAAAAAAATATAAAAATAAGATTTGGGAAAAATATTCAAAGAAAAAGGAAATGACTTACCTGAGAGTCGAGGATGCCACAGTCCTTCTTGGTCTTCCTCTTGAAGTGCATGATGGTCAGGCAGAAGAGACCAAACGTGGCTGCCGAAATTTAAACTTTATCACAACTGAATTTATTCTTCAATAATAGTCTTTTTATCTTTATTTACTTATAAATGCAAAAATTTTCCACTCAAATACTATTTCTTTAAAAGTCTGACAAAGATAATCAAGAAAACTGATTACAAGATTACATGTATTTTATGGTGAGAAATGGAGGAATGAGTCTAAAATTCTATTTTCTAGCAGATTCCCTGCCAGGCAGCTATCGTCAATGCACACGCCATTTCAGGGCATGCAAGAGCAAAACCGAACTAACAGCTTATCTGGTACCTGACTATTATGTAATAGATTTGTATATATATATATATATATATATATATATATATATATATATATATATATATATATATATATATATATATATATTTTTCATTAGCCCAATAAAGCACGCGGATAACTTGAGTTATATCGTGACTGTGACTGAATGGCAACACCTCAACCCGCCATAGGCCTGTGGCCGGGTCTGAATCCTGGCGGGTTGAGGTGTTGATTGTATGTAGAAGTCCGCTTTATTGGGCTAATAATATATGGATCCTCGTGTTTCAAACCCGGATTTGGTAAAACGTTACTCTGACCACCTACGTGATACGGGTAGTCCCCATTAGAGGTTCACGGCGCCATAAGCTCGTTGAACAGGCTTTGTGTGAAATATAACAAAGTCTAGGACTGCTTTTAGTATCCTGGTGGTCCAGCGGTTAGCGTTCCCCGGGTCACAGTCATAGGCTCGTGGGCCGTGGGTTCGAATCCTGGCGGTGTTGATTGTATATATATATATATATATATATATATATATATATATATATATATATATATATATATATATACTGTATATATAATATAATATTCAGAAATTTCGGTGTGATATTTAGAGACGTTAGAAAGAAAATAACCGATCTGCCGAAACAGCAGCAGCATAGTAGGCCAAGCTGAAACACCCACTCCTCATAGCGAGTCAAATAAGCTCAAGCGAGGTGGAAGCATTTTCAACTAGGCCTACATAAAACTAAATTTGCTTTATCGAATTAATGTCGACACGATTCGTTAATGTAAGGGACAATTATTGAATTTAAAGTTATTGTGGACCGTTTCTCAGTCTAAATATGTTACTTGTGTCCCAAAGAAACTATTAGTTACGCGAAAAGATGACGTCACTAGGCCAAGCGAACGCCTTGGGGAGATGCGAGGTGGGCTGTCTCAGTAGCGCGCCGGCGTTTGTCCCAGGGGGAGGGAGTCCATGCGTCTCTGCCAAGAAAAACGACCATGTGGCCTCGTCCCTTCGCGCGCACGTTTCATCAGTGTTGCAAGTAAGTTTTATTCGATCTCAGACAGTATTTAGATAGGGCGGAGAAGAAGTTAACAATAGCTAACAGAGTGTTCTCTTGCAGGGTTTTTGAGAACCCACTGGGTCTGTCGGTCTGTCAGTTTAGCAGTCGGTCAACGGGTGTTTAGCGGTCGTATAGCTGGCCACGCACGAGGAGAATTGGTGTCCTTGACGACTAACTACGTGGGATCAGCGTCTGCACTTGGTCGATGGTCGTTCTGGTTCATCAAATCTCCCCACCTTGGTTCATACAACACCACATCTCTTCAGTCAGTTAGTGAAAACTCTTACTAATGGGAAAATAGAACCCCTCCCTCAACTGGGCAGGGTTCTCCTGCTGACAGTCACTCTCTTTCTGTCTATGGAGTACTGAGAGTAAACTGAGTGCAGCCTGAGTGAATGAAAGGTCACACACTGAGACCAGGAGTCTAGTGGGTACATAGAGACATTCATATCCTCAGTATTGGGTGTATGTGATCGAATTAACCAAGTCCAGGTGTGTAATCAATGCTCCTCATGGTTGATTGTCTGTGTTCGTCTTGATACCTCCAAAATGTTCTATACTACTGAAGGTATACACAAACACTTGTTATCTTAAAAGTAGGTTCTATTCTCGTACGGGAGATATATATACAGAGGGACCAAGAAGCTCACTTCCGCACCACAAGGACTGGCAGTCTTCACTCTATCTATGTATTACTGCGCGCTGGCATGTACAGATGCCAGCATTCACAAGCTGAATACATAAAGTATAAATATGATAATTTATATACATAACATGGTGCCTAATAAATGGGAATATTACATAGAATTAATACATGTTCTGTAATACTTTACTATACATAATTAATAAGAGTAATATAATAATACACAGCTTAAGGTACTACTTTGTGTCCATATCATACACATTGCACACGTGGGACATAAGAGTTCCTCTCCAAAAGTTGTGAAAGGCTGTTAGTACCTTAAAAGTACGGGTGCATTCGGAACCTATGTGTGGAGCATGTTACGGGTATTGGTGGAGAAAAACATTCATGACTCTTGAAATCTAGAGAGTAATGAAAAAAACAGCGGAGCACCCGCCTGCCTGAGGGGTCATGAGTGAGTTTCTCAGTTTCTTGTAAATGCCTGCCCTTGGCAGGTTAGTAGTTACAGCCTTCGGGTTCTAGGGCAGTTAGGATTATAGTATTTTGTGTGTCATCCCAGACAGGCTATGATTGATCCATGGTCTTGTGTAGTATGACTAAAATTGGGATTTCTATTTCTCAGTGATTTTGTCGGTTGCCCTTAAGGAATGTTCATTGGTGCAAGTAATATTTTTTTTAAATGTTTTATGTGCCACTAAGTGATGTAAGATAATGAAGGAATTGTTTCAGATGAGTTCCTCGTTCTGGTGTAGGTAGTACTGCTGCATTTAGTAGTCCTCTCGAAATGCATTTAATATTTTTTAATATTTTTTGATACCATGTATAACTTTTGTTTCCCATTATAGTGTTTTTAAGCCACGCTAAGAAGTACTGTAGTGTTGGTGTACCATTATTGATTGTGTCTGACTCTGTAGTGTTGGAAGGAATAGAAAGTGTCATCGTTTGACAATTGGGACAACTTCTACGGCAGAAGGGACCTTTATGCTAGGGATGGGGTACACCTGTCTCGGGAGGGGGTGGCAACCCTGGCTGGGTCTCTAGAGGGGGCAGTTCAAAAGATATCGAAGTCTTTAAACTGCTAGGGGAGCATAAGAGCACGGGGGTGAGGGAGACTGCAGTGGTAGTGGGTAAACCAAGTGAAAGATTACAGGGAAATAGTGTTAGGAATGATGACAAAACTAAATTAGACAGGGAATTTAAACCTAAACGCGGTAAAGGGAGGACTCAGAACACGACTAACTTAAATGTCTACTACGCGAACAGTAGAAGCATGAGAAACAAAATGGATGATATTAGGGCCTTGGTATGTACCGAAAAAATCGATATAATAGCATTCACTGAAACATGGATCAACCTAGACTCACGTGAGTTACCTGTCGAATACCAAATTGCGGATTACAAATTGTTCCATACTGATAGGCCGTCCAGGAAAGGAGGCGGATTAGCAATCTATGTCTGGGATTATCTGAAGTGCGAAATAAATAAGGAAATAAAAACTGAGCGGAATACAGAAACAATTTGGATAGAATTAATCGACGGTAGGGAAAAATTAATCACAGGAGTAATATATATAGACCTCCCAATCTTGATAGAGTTAATGAGCGACTTATCTAGGATGAAATGCGCAGGGCTTCCATACACAACTAAGTCTGTATAGTAGGCGATTTTAACCTTGGCCAAATAGATTGGACTGACCTTATGGGTAACTCAGTATCAGAGGATTTCCTCGAAACGATCCAGGACTGTTTCCTAAGTCAACATATACCCGAACCCACCCGGGGTAATAATATACTCGATTTAGTTCTGTCGAACAGAGAAAACCTCATTAGCAATGTCGAGGTAGGGAACGAACTTGCAAGCAGCGATCACAAAGAAATTAGATTCCAGTTAGATTTTCAGGTCAGACGTAAAGGGAATTCCATTAAAGTCCCAGATTTCAGAAGGGCAAACTTTGATAATTTAAAGAGGCAGTTGAGAGAGGGGGTATCACGCTTGGATGTGAACCAAGATGAAACCGACCTGATAACGAGATCTGAGATTGCCGAGTTCCACGACAATTTAAATAACGGGTTACTTAATGCACAAAGGCAGAACATACCATACAAAAAACTCAGATCAGACAACTATGACCCTAAATGGATAAATAATTATTTATAGAACATTATTGGCCAAAGGAAGGCTATAAGTAGGCGAATTTTACCTCCGGGAGTATTATAAGGTATTGGCCGGTAGGGTTAAGACCGAGATAAGAAAAGCCAAGAGGAACTATGAACTGAAGATAGCCGGGGAGGCGAAAACAAACCCCAAAGGATTCTACCAAATGTATCAAACTAAAACACGAGATAAGATTGGACCAATACGTTCAGATACCGGCGAGCTAACTGATAACGACGGAGAAATGAGCAATAATCTGAATAAATATTTTTCAACAGTTTTCACCACCGAAAATTTAAATATGATACCCGAGGCACCGACTCTATTCAGAGATAGTGAAGAAAACAAATTAAGCGAGATAGTAGTGACTAGTAACGATGTTAATAAGCAAATAGACAAACTGAAGCCTAATAAGTCACCTGGTCCCGGTGAGATATTTGCCAGAGTATTAAAGGAATGTAAGGATGAGCTTAGTATGCCCTTAGCAAAGTTGTTTAACATGTCATTAAAAACAGGTGTCATGCCAGAATCCTGGAGGATAGCGAATGTAATACCGATTTTCAAGAAGGGGATAGATCACTATCCTCTAACTACCGCCCAACCAGTCTAACATCAATAGTAGGTAAATTACTAGAATCAATTATTTCAAACTCTATTCGAAACCACCTGGAGAAGCACAAGTTGATCAATGATTCCCAACATGGCTTCACAAGCGGGTGTTCATGTCTAACTAATCTATTAACATTCTTTTCATCAGTTTTCGAATCGGTGGACGAGGGGCACAATTATGATGTGGTATATCTCGACTTTAGCAAAGCCTTCGACAGAGTCCCCCACGAAAGACTAATTAGAAAGGT